TGCTCCTATTTGCTGAACTGAAAAAAAGATGTGGGAACAAAAGGAAACAGATGAGTCTCTGGGTAAAAACTGTAACAAATAGAGTGCAAGTTGGGTAAGAGAGCTAAAGAGGCTGCAGTCTTCCATAAATTATGAAGATAGGAGCAAGAAGAACTTGAAGTTGGGGGGTGATTCACCATTATCTCAATGATTGATGGCATCCTATCCTGTAATGTCACAGGGTTTAAATGACGCTAAGAAGAGGAATATCATCAAGGGCTGCGTTAGCAGATGGAAACCACTAGTCGTATGCTTTCAAGAAGCCAAGATGGAGGTCGTTGATGATTTGTTCATCAAAAGCCTTTGGTGAATTGATGAATTGGGGTGGCAATTGCTTCCAAGGGGACCGTTGGGGGTGTCCTCCCATTGTGGAATAAAGAGTCTGTTGAATGCAAAGACTTCATTCTCGGGGAGATTATTTCTTCCTGCTTATTTGTCAACAGAAGGGATAATGGTGAGTGGTTCTTCTCGGGTGACTACTGTAGAGGGAATGCTAAGGAGCGCTCTTTGTTCAAAATCGGTTTAAGTCTGTGGAGGGGTATTATGGCCATATGCAACAAGGTGCTTGATTGCACCAGATGGGAAGTCGGGAATGGCAATAAAATCTATTTATGGCAGGATTCCTAGTGTGGGGAGATAAGTCTCATGTCTGAGTTTCCCAATATTTTTGCCATTGCAAGGGACAAGTATATTCTTCTGGGGGATGCTTTTACTATCACTGATTGCAGGGCTTGCACTATATCTGTCTACAAAAATTTAAACGACTGGGAGATTGAGGAATTTGAAAAATTTCTTTCTCTAATGAGTACAGTTGTCGGATACCTTTAACATAGGATTTGATCCGAAGAAATGAGAAGAAGAAGAAGAGAAGAGGACCAAAGCCGAGGAGAAATAGGGATATAAATTTTATTTCTTTTCCGATGATGTCTACAAGCATGGTTAGATAGCCTCTTGTGCTTAAACATCATATTTCCAGCGAGGATCACACAACTGTTTTAGCCCTAGTGACGGCCGTGGCTACTAATGACAGATCTATTGGTAATACAAAATAAAAGAAACCCTAACCCTAAATGTTCGACAAAAGACCTTTTTGCTCATTTTTTGTAATTTTTCCTTTTTACCCTTAATATCCTGACAATGCCCTCCCCTTAAACTGATACCTGGTCTTCAAGGTTGATTTTAGAAAACTTTGTCTTCGAGAATCCCTTCCATGACAATCTCCTCTAAGAACATACTGTTTTACTCGTGCAACAATGTCTTGGGAAGTACCGATCACCACACTTGTAACAAGCAGCTGTTGCTTTTTTACATTCCATATCTCTTCCTGCAGCTCGGGGTGGTTAATCATAATTGTCAGATCTTTCTGAAAATTTGGTATCCTTCCCAGTAAAATATAAACTTCAGGACATTTTCTTAACAGATTGTTATTGCAGTAAGGCCTGTTCGAATACTTGATTAATCGTTTGCGGCTTGAGGAATCTTATTATGGGTTGTAACTCTGACTTGAGGCCACTGATTAAGGTGGATATAAAAAGTCTTTATGAAATTGTTGGGTTATAATTTTCATCCTCTTTTAATATGTTTGTGCATGTTTGCATAGACAATTTTATTTCTGTGTTAGACATCTATACTTTATTGTTACAGATGCCATTTGTAATTGCTGAAACTTATTCACCTTTAGTTTGCCCATAAAATGATTGTTTTTTCTTTCTGTTATTTTTAAGCCCAAGATACAAGACGAATTAATAATAGCTCGTGAGATTGTTATTAACGATGCAGAGCCTTCTGTACGATACAAGCTTACCAAACGCCAGACGCAAGAAGAGGTAAATCTGACTGCTTTACTATATAGGACTGAAGGATAAATGTAGATTATACCACTAAAGCAATGACTTCTTTGTTGCAGATTCAGAGGTGTACTGGTGCGGTTGTGATAACCAGGTTTATGTTCTTCTATTGGAGGGTGATGAGAAGTAATTTTTACTGGCATCTGTTCTTTGCAATTTATTCATTTTATCACTTCTTTCCAGGGGCAAATATCGTCCACCAAATGCTCTGCCTGATGGTGAAAAGCCGCTATATCTTCACATATCTGGAGGGGCTCATGTATGCACAGTATATAGTTTCTTATGGAGCTTTAAGGCTGCTATAGCTAGGATGTTTTGAGTAATTCACTGCCAATTGATTTGTGTATAGTTGCTTTAGTTTTGTCTGATAACATAGCTTCTAACTTCGTGGTTTTTATTCTTCTTGGCTTCACATTTGATTACTTACCATTAATAATGGTAAAAGCCTTGCAAAAATTTCTTTCATCTTCCAAAAGAAGTTTTGGCTTTCTTTTTCAAAATCTTGTGGATTGTCTTTGCAGTTGAAAGAAACAGCAGAACGGATTTTAGCTGTTGATCGTGCAGCTGCCATGGTAGAGGAAATGCTGAAACAGGGCCCAAATGGGGTGAAGGTATACCTTGCACTACCTTCTAGTTCTTTTTCAGATTGAGGCAGTTTAACCCAGAGGCAGTTTAACCCAGTGTATGAATATGCAATTGAATCAGGGTAATCCAGCATTTAGCTCTTGTGTGTACTTGGGATTTGATGCTGATCCATCATTAAACATTGCTGCTCGTATTCGTGGACCAAATGTGAGATTTTCCTTTCCGCTCTCCTTTCTTCTTAGTCATAGAAATTACCTATCAAGATTTCCGACATCTTTCCATCCCTGAGTATTTTTGTAGCTAGCTCTCTTATCTGCCTATAAAAAATGGGACATCTCTATTTATAATTAATATCTGGCTGTGGTGGATATTTAGGTTATCCATCTCATCCATGTAGTTCATTTTACTTGAGTAATTTTTCCTTTATTTTTAAGGAGAGGCTTAATGTGCATTCCTTGTGTCTTTAGTACACACGCACACACATCCACACATATGCACATGCACATACATAGATACTTATACGTATGCAATTTTTTACCATACATGTATATACACAGCCATTTATAGGATTTGCTTCTCATCTACTGGATTTGGTTGCATTGTTTGATTTGTTTATTCTTTAAGTTAATAGTGCATATGACAAAGATGAGAGGTTCTAATGTTGAAGCTTTCTCTGACTTCTCCATACAATTGGGAGAGAATGTTTTTGTGTTGGTGGTTCGGTTTTCTACTTGCAGGACCAGTATATAAATCACATTATGAATGAAACAGGAGCAACTGTTGTATTAAGAGGGCATGGTTCGGGTAACTCTGAGAGCCCGCACAGTGAGGGTACTATTCTTCTGCATCCTTTTTTACCATTTTGCTTGCATGTTGAGGTTGAGTGTTAATCCATGTGCCTGTGCATGTGAATGGATGTGCAACCATTAAACATTTTTTCATCTATTCTCTTGTTCTGATTGCAGAACAGCAGCAACCATTGCATTTGCTCTTATCCAGCAATAATCCTAAAAGCCTTGAAGATGCAAGACTCTTGGCAGAGAATCTTCTGGATACAATTCGAGTAGAATTTGATGCCTCCAGGTAATAATTTTTTGGTTTAATCTGACAATGAAAATTTCTCCAGGCATGCCATATACTGATGCTTCATGTCTTCTCCTGAAAACAGAAGAAGGGAATACTGATTCATATAACCTTTTTGTTCTCCAGAAAATTTGGTAGCATTGTGTTGCTATTGTTAGGTTAATATGGGGATCTTCTTTTAAACTTCACATTCTTGTTAGCAACAGTTTTTCAGTTGAGCATTCCATCAAGTTTACTCTTTGAATGTCTTTTCTTCTCTTCTCAAACTGAAATTTAAACTATGTTTTCTGTTTCATGAGTTGTCTATAAAGTTCTATCTGGTGTAACTTAATTTGCAAACTGTCTAGGGTTTCTTCATGTAAGGTTTATGGTGCTGTGCCACCCCCGCAGACACTGTTGACTGGAGTTCAGAGCTTTGGAAATGAGCCAAAAGTAAATGAAAGTTCAGCTTCTGCTTTGGCATCATCGGCGGTGGGTGTTACACCACCTCGGCCTGTATCTTCTATTACACTTCCTGGGCCTGCTACTATCCCTCAAAGGCCAATATCAAGCGCAGGAGGAATATTAAACTCTGGCCAACTGCTGCCAAATGTGAGCTATCCCCAGCCTTTGTTAACTGGAGGAACAAGCTATAGTGGTTATGGTGGAATATATCCTCAGGCTACACCTCTGCAACAGGTTGCTCAAGCCCTTAAACAATCACCTTCTGCAGTTACTTGTACAGTTGCTTCTACAACGGTAACGAGCACAGTACCAAAGGCAAGTACAAGCTCAACTTCATTGAAGGAGAAACAGCCTCCACAAAAACGAAAATTTCAAGAGTTACCTGCTGGTTCAAGGGGCCCTGCTAAAATAGATCAGGTATCTATGAATTAATTCTCCACCTGATTTTTTAAAATTTCTTCTTCCCAAAAGAAGCTTGTCAGTTTCAGTTTTTATATCCTATGCTATTTTTCATCTGAGCTTTCTCCTTGTCAGTAGCTGTAGTTGCAGTTTTCAAAATTGAAGCAATCAATGTGTGCAGATGTTAAATTTTAGAAGACCAGGGATGGGGATGTAGAAGTTCTGTTTCTGGGGCATTCGATGAAAATGGGGATTGTTCCCCCGATGGATTTAATAAAAGTCAGTGACATCTGAGCGAGTGTAGTCTGGCAGAAAGTTGTATTTCTGCTAGATACTTGATAGTAATAGGGGTCTACATGGAGGTCCGAAGCTGAAAAGTCCTTATATGTTATAAGCTCTATAATGGGTTATGCACTTGTTTACTGTTAGCCTTGCGCGTTACTTGATCATACAAGGAAAAGATATCCTTGGGAACTTTACCTTGCTTCCTTTTTGATGCAGGGGAAGACAGTTAGAGGAATTTGGGATATAGTTGTTAGATTAATCTAATCATGGGCATTCTTGTAGACATAAGGAGTAGTTTGTGAGAAAAATATCTTTTATGGTTGCGTTTCAGTGTTACATTCACAAAGCATCAAAGGAGTGCAGCTCATAGAAAAAGAATTTATAATAAGTTTAGCAAAACGTCAATAAGGTTCCCTAGATCCTTTCTTAGATACAGAGTTGACAATTAAGCAAAATACTTGGAGCTTGGAACCAAGAGTCCTTATCTCTATCGAAGTTACCATTTCAGCCTTACATATTGGTGGCATCTTATTTGCTGCCTGATTTAGTAAAGCTGCCCGTCGAATTGAATTAATGGCATGTTGGACTTTGTGCATTGGAAGCAATCTGCTTGGTAATCTTCACAGACTGATTCATCAAATTCATACAACAATTTTTTTTATTATTTTTTCTCAATAAGATTTAGGAGGTTGCCCTTTCCTTCGGTCGAAGTTTCAATCAGCAAGTAAAGAATTCCACAATCTTTGTTGGCTTCTTTAATTTGTTTCCCTGTAGAAAGGTAATTAGCCCTGTGCCTTTCTATTAGCATCTGGTTCTGGTTTGTCTTTCAATGGATCGAAGGTAAGCCTTTTTTGGCCTTTATAGAAGGTATAAGTATTAGATATTGGTGGGTGCATCATTTTGTAATCATACAAATAAGGTCTCCTTAGCAATATATGACAAGCAGCCATAGGGAATGCATCAAACTTTAATTTTTTAGTTCTCACTGATCTTTAATTGAAGTAAACATCTAGGAGAATACATGTTCTTCAATAGGAAAGCTTATATGGATGAAGTTGCTTCTCTACTAGTCCCTTCAGCTTTTCCACCAGAAGCCTTTGCCACCATATTCTCAATATCCCATTACAATAATACCACCAGAAACCCACCACCACAAGTCACTTGAGTTCAGAAGATGATGTGTTGCCTCCAATTTTCAAGTTCCTCCTCATTTGGGATTGCCAACACTCAATCTATGGATAAAAACTTCTCCCTTTACAGGCAGGAAGCAACCTCTGGTTCTTCTTTGGTACATCGACACTGTTTCTCCATTTAATAATTGCAACCATGTTTAATAGACAAATTGGCATGAGTAGGATGCATGTTGAAGCTCATGGCATAAAAAGCAATGCAACTTAGATTCATTGGTTATACCTTTAGAAAATAGAATTGCTGCAGAGCCTCTATAAGTTGTTGATCTTGGCAGTTTGTTATATCCAATGTCACTAGTCCTGCAACTTGTCTTCCTGAAGTGTATTAAACAATCATTAACCTGACAGAAACTCCCTGTTCAGCAGTAGCATGAGTTGTTGGGAGGACATGTTAGTTGAAAGCAAACAACTTGCTCTTCTGCCCAGTTGGCATGTTGATAAGCATCCCCAAGATAATTAATGCAATTTTGTTTTTTTTTTTCCTTTTAGATATTAGTAATTCAATTGATATCCATTTGAATTGCTAGCCTGTAGAATTCACTAGTCTATTCTTCAATGTTCAAATCATTTTATTTTAGTTTTTCAAATTTCACTTTTAAATTCATTAAGGAGTCAGTTGGCAGAACTGCTTCTTTTTTTCTTGCCTTCATTGTTTGCTGTGTTCAGATTTTTACCTGGCCTTGTCTAGCAGACTGCTTTTTCTGTCTTTTCCACCATCAAGGAGTGAGTTCCTTTCAATTTCAGTTTTGTGAATAAAACTTTTCTTTCTTCTGTCATGGGATTCTTTACAAATTACTTTTCTAGATTTGTCTCCAAATTAAGCAAATTTTTAGCATCCATCGTTACACGAAATCAGGAACTTCGATTAAAACTTCTCAGTCTAAAGAGCAAGTTGTGGGCTTTGAGTAATCTTCCGTTTGCCAAGTTCAGGAGAAAGGTATTTGCACCTATTTCACTGGTCACTGTTTGAGTCATTTAGAAATAAGAAGAGGAGATTTTGATGATTCTCCCTCTCGTCTAAAACAAATAGGGTTGATTTGTACAAATGGGGATTTGGGATAAAAATCTGGACATTACACCTAAGGTGTCTTGGCTATCTATCACATCTAAGAAGTATTAAGTATCACACCTAGAGTTATCACATAACCACAAAATTGAAAAACTTTAGAGATGTTTTATTAATTTACTGCTCTCATAGAGAGGTCACAACCATATTTATAGAGTGCTATATAACTTTTTTTTGACTAGATTATGAAATATCAAAACTGATTTAAGAATACTCCTCAGAATAAAATAAGAATGCTAATACTAAAAATATTAGCAATGCTAATCCTAATACAAATGAGAAATACTAAAACAACTAGAAAAATTAAGAACTAAGAAGAATAAGATCCTAAAGTTACTAAAACTATTATAAGACTCCTCAATAATGTAATAGTTTTATGTTTAATCCTAAACCTACTTAGCATCTAGATTCTTTCTGATGACTGGAAGCCAGCGGCCGTTTGATAGTCAGCTCAGCTGGAAGTGCTGGTTGCAAATTATATGTCGGTATAAATGGTGCATAAGTTCGAGATTGTGAGAGACAGCAGCTGGGAGAGGTTGCAATGGTGAGTTTGGTAATTTGCAATGGAGATTTGCTGTAGGGCTTTGGAGGTCTGCCGATTGGGACCTTCAAAGGCTGGTGGTAAAGGCGGTGTTGATCACCTCTTAGGTGGGTGGACTGGTGGTGTCTTAGGGTTTCTATGAGTTTTTTTTTTTTTTCTTTCAGATGGTTCTGTTGCTATGGATGTAGGATTTTGAGAATTTTCGACTATGGTATTCTTGTAACTCTGGTATCAAATGGGTGTAGAACAAATAGGGTTGATTTATTAATGATACATATGGGTTATTGCCTAAATAGATTAGAAATTCTAATTCTATTAAATGTAAAACTATTATATTATGTAAGAGTCTATTATTATAATGTAGTAAATTTAGGGTTCTGTTCTTATTAATATTTTGTATTATTATTTGTTTTAACATTTTTTGTTTATGGTTAGTGTTCTTAATATGCTAGTATTCCTAGTCTATTAGGATTAAAATTCCTAAATTAGTTTTGGTATTCCATAATCTAGTTGAGAAAAACTTATTTAACACTATTGATATAGTTGTAACCTCTTGAGAGTGTCATTCAAGGATTCAATAACATTTTGAGAATTTTATAGTATTTGTTTGTGTGATTTAATCAGCTATTAGGTTTGATACTTAAGAACTCTAGGTGTGATATATAGGTTTTTCCTCAAATTTCTAAGTAGAAAATTAGCACTAATTTATCCTACATCAATTTGGTATCAAAAGTAAAAGAATCCTACCCTCAAAATCTCAAAACCCTTTTGACATCATCCTCCTTGCATGGATGCGCCTTAGTTTGGATTCATTTTTAGATTTAGTTTTGTAGTGGTGTAAGAGAAATTTTTTTTAAGAGTCCTACTTTTAGTTTCTCTAATTAAAAGCTTGCTGTTATTAAAAGTAATGATAGTGTCTGGTATTTTCTTTTTTGACAAAATAACACTAAGATATCGTTCAAAATATTTGTGTTTGGTAACGGTATTTGTAAATAATTAAGAAATACAATTAATATAATTTAAGAGCTAATTATGATAAAGTAAAGAGCGGTTTGAAACTCCTCTCTTGTTTAGTTGAACAGAGTAAATGATGATTAAGATTTTAGTTTATAAAAATAGTTGTTATTTTGTATATAGGTTGGGGTATTTAAGAAATTTGATGATCAATATAGTGTGAAAATTCTCTCAGCCTCTCACAATCCTCTATCTTGAGGGTTGAGTGAATGAGAGTTTTTGGAGGTTAAACCATCTTTCAATCCAATTTACTTTTTTATAGAACTCACACATTTGACCTGAGTTACAAAAGAAGATATATTGCTTGTGCTTATACGTTTTTTGCCTGTTTAAGAACATTCATTTAATACACGTGGTGCAAGATATTCATATTCTGTAGATCTTTAAGTGTATATGGATAAAATGCACCTCAAAATCGCTTGGCTGGGTAATCCTCTCCATGATACTAATGTTCACATGGCAGAATTCAAATGTCATGAAGAGCTTTTTATCTTGTTCATAATCCCACTTGCTTGGCTCCTTTAACTTCTTTAATAGTTCATAGCAATCAATTTGTGAGTTTGGCTCATCACAATTTTCGGAAGAAATTTTTTTTTGCTGCGGATTAAGTGGGCTTTTAGGTAGTATAATTTATATAAGCTTTTTCTAGTATTGGAGCGCTTATCAACAATATGAAGGGACAAGCAGAGCATTTTTATCTGCACGTACTTTTACTGTTAAGGGTGTGATTTGTACAAGATTCCCAAGCATTTAGGTCTGTTTGTAGTGTACCCTTGTGTCTTTTCTTTTCTCTTTTTTTTCCTCTTTAGTGTTGCCATGAAAATCATGCAGAAATACATGCATTATATGAATATATTTGATCCTCTACCTTTTTTTTTCTTTTTGCAAGAAAATCGCTTGCCTCTTATAAAATAATCTTGATATCTTATGCTGATTTTCTCTGCTTAACATTCCAGGTATTTTCTCTGACCTTCTAAGAAGCTAACTGGCCAATTCCGAATGCCTCTGTTTGGGCCATTGGTTTGTATGTTTCACAGGATTTCAGTTGTGGAGTAATGTGAAGAGCGTTGCTGCTGAAAACTCTATGATTAAAGGGCCAGTCCAAGGTTCTGTGCTGATTGACTGTGCCCTTATGTGTGATGATGTTCATAGCACTTTCTTTTAGGGTCATATCTGGTGGTGGCTTTCTCAATTTGAGGCCATAATCAATATGCATAGCTGCTAAGGATCATTAAGTGGTTAAGATTTTTAACGTCATCAATAATTTGCTAAAACTGCATGAAATAGAGAATGCATTCATTTTAACCAAAAGATCAGTTCTATGTTATAAATGATAAAACTTGCATGTTTCTTGTTAAGGGATAACTTTCAGTTGCCAACTCTTTCTTGGAGGGAGTTTCATTTGTGGCAAAACCTCATTAGGACCCAGTCAAACTTCTTTGTAGATGGATTATAATTGCATTTGTTTGTGGCTGGCAGCCCCTTCAAGAGTTGTTTAGCTAAAGACATGCTAATGAGAAAATTTTGGGGTCAATGAGGAAAAGCTAAGTTCAAGTATTTCTTCATTTTATTTATACTGGCCAAATTATAGTTTCCTGTGTTACATGCATCATGCTGCCTGACTCTAGATTGACAAAGTTACATGGACCTAATTAGTTCATCCTAATGCTAGATGAAGCTTATATTTCGCCCTCCATTCAAATTGACATGTTAAGTTTCATGTGGAGATTTAAACTTCAACATGCTGTAGTAGTTTATATGTTCCTAAGTACCCAAGCAATTAATAATAGTGCAGGTGGTTGGTACTTCCAACCTCCTCAGTAGCCTGAGCTGTGTGCTTCCAAGAAAAAGTAAAAAAAAAAAAAAGGCCATTAGTAATGGTGTTTTCCCTTTCTCTTTTCACTTTTTTACTATTTTTCCTGGACTAAAATTTTCGAAGTTGTCCTGGGAGAAATTTTTTGCCATTACTGCATCTTTTCTCTATCTCACTGAGATTGAAAAGTTGGTTTTGTATTTGCTTTTCTCTAACTCATGACAGGCCTCAGAAATTTTTAAATCAAGTGAACCATTGACTGATGCGGGTGTAAGAAACTTGTTGTCTTTGCCAGCTCCAAAGAAGTTGCTCCAACCAACATCCAATGGCATGTCACCACTTCCAAGATCCATGCCTCCACCACCACCCCCACCCCCGAGAGACATTCCTCCACCTCCAAAATTTACCGCACCAACACCAGCTGTGAAACTGCATGACGCAGACAAAGTTTTGAGACACACAAAATCTGATACAGTTCCAGGTACAAAGACGTTATTGGCTTTAGATAAAGAGCTGGTTAATGCCATTACAGTTTTGGTGAAGAACTAGAAGTGCAAACCTTGGCATTGTTGTATTATAGGAGCAAGTAGCAAAGAAGTAGGAATTGCTTTGCTTATTGCTTCTATTTCTCTGGAAAATTGGCCTTCTAAATCAGTCAGTTGTTGCAGATACTTTGGTTAAGCTAATGGAATATGGGGAGGAAGATGATGACCCTGAGGACAGTGAAGAATCACTTCGTAGCAGAAATTCTTGTGTAATTGCAGGTAGAAAACCATTCTGGGCTGTATGATTCATTTAGTTCTTCATCAGCTAGAATCTAAAAAAGTTCTACTGGAGTTCCGACATGAGTGCCTACCAATGCGAAACCAAAAGGTCTCCAGAATTATTAGGAGAATTAGATGCAGTTGCTTGCTGTACAGGATCTTGTAATTCACCCTGTCTGCTTTAGCAACTGGTGGCTTGTGCTCTTGGGAGAAGAAGGTGGAAGACCCATGTTGTATTTTTGGTCGTAATTTGAATCACATGTACACCACTAGTTTTACACTTGCTGGTGTGTAATTCTATATGCTGGAAGTATTTGCATAATGCAGTAGGCCAAGACAGGTAGAGTCTATCATATATTTTGTACTTCGTACCCAAGAAAGGTGATTGTGCTCACCAGTCAGCTTTAGAGCTAGAATCTCCATTACAGGGCTTTGAGAGCTAGGGTTTAGAGATCCTTTTTAGGAAGTCTAATAGGAGCGGGAAAGAAAGTTTATTTATTTGTCAATTTATTTTCTTTGTTGTTATGTTTAAGGATCATCTTCTTTGCAATTTTACATTTTTTTTTTTACTTTTTATCTTCCTCATTATTGCACTTTTTGTGAGAGCAAATTCATTGATCAATTTTCTTTTTGTTGTTGTTGTTGTGTTTTTTAAATTGGAGACTATTAAAGTATCATTACTGTATTTAGACTGTAAAAATAATGTTGCAATTATTTGACATTTGGTTTTATTTTGAGCATGTTACATATATGCCCGCATTAAGAAAAAAGAGCCCTAAAATACCAAAATTTAAATTTGTGTTCTCATTGCTAGTTATACATAAAAGAACTATAAGAAATATAGTTCTTAATGTTTTAGATAGAATATAACAAACCAGTCCAAGTACTTAGTAAAAACTACTTAATTATATTAGAGATTTAATTTTCTCTTCTTGGTTACATTAAATGATGTGATTCTACCCAAACCTTCGAAAACAATAATAATAATGAGTGTTGATTATTTGTTAATCCCAAAACATATTTTATAATTTTTATTCTAGAAAAAAGAAAAAGAGTTTCAAATTCTTAACTATACGTAATAAATGTAGTTTTTTTTTAATAATTAATTTAATGTTTACAATATCTTTAAAGTAGATGTACGTTCATAATTATGAATTTGATATTGTTTGTTAGAAAATTTTATATAATATTTACAAAAAAAAAATGTGTACATAAGAGTATTATAAAATTCCTCAGCTAAATGATATTTTTTAGTTTGGTGAACAATCCAACCACTCAATTTATTGTTAAGACACGAAATAAATGACTTTCGTCACTAATAGTTAGACAATTTATTTAGTGTCATTCATAATTTCAAAACTCATATATACGATTTATTGTTTAAATCTATTTTTACTTATTTATACCAAGTGAGTTAAATTAATAAAAAAAAAAATTTGAATTGACTTGTTTAAGTTTAATAGATATATATATATATATATATATTAAATTTAAAAAATAATTTAGCAAATTTGTTTTAATATATATGTAGTGAGTGAATGAATGAAATATATTAAAGAATTGATTAGTCAGACTAGCTACAAAAAGATTATACGAATCTAGCATGTTTTAAGTCCAATGCACACGCCGCAGAGGGGGGATTCGTAAATGAGATAAAAGACACAGATTTATACGCTCGCCCCCACACAATTGACTCTTTCCATTGTTATGGGACATCTTTAGCATTCAATTTTATTTGTTTTCAACCAAAACAAAAATCACCAAATAATGAAGAAGTTGTCAAATCCTGCCTGAAATTGTACATTAGATTTTGGGGTCTAACATATTTCACATCAAAAAATTACAATTTAGATACACCCAATAATTCTTTCTCCAGGTTTTGTCCTTTTGTCCATTTAAAGTAACTATCAACACTCCATTTTAGTCTTCTCCTTTCTTTCTTCCTCTTTCACCTTTTACTTCTTTCATTATAAACAACACTTCAACTTCCAGTTTATGTCAAAAGTATGTAAGAGTTCCTCCTCCTTTTTCTTTCTCCTTCCTCCATTTTCACCCATGCCACGTTGCCATCTCTTTGTCCATAAGTTTTTTCTACATTTTTTTTTTACAAGAATTAAATTTAACAAAATTTTTATTTTGTAGTCATTAGATTGAACTTAATTATAAAAAATTATTGTTGAATTTAATCGGATGAGTCATCCATGATGGGACCAGACTCTACTTTGAGTTATTACTTAACTTTAAATAATGTAAAGACTCAGAATGTAAAAAAAAATGAATTTATAATTTAAATGTATAAGTGAATAATAATGTTAGGGTTTACATTTCTTACACAATAAATTGAATTGCCTAATAGGGTTATAAGAATGTTCATTCTGCGTGGTTCATAAAAGACAAATGATGATTAAAAAAAAACAAATAAATAGTATCCTATGACAACTTTCACTAGCACTTAAAGGTAGTATGGGAGGTGAACTACTCGCATCCCTCTTACTGATCGGGATCTGGATCTTGGTCTTTTTAATATGAAATGGTTCATGAAAGAGTGAACTATACTAGTATAGTAAGAATACCACACTAATCACTGATACGAAAGATCGAAAGTTGGTAAAAATCAGAAAACAACTAATGAACCCTTTACTTTAAGTAAATACATTCAACTTTAAAATTTTTTAGTCGATACTTATTGTTACAGTTTTTTTCCAAAATCAACCTATGAAGACAATTAACCAAATGACATTTCAGATTTCATGCATATGATCAACAATTCTTCATTTTCAACCTACTTACTAGGACCCCTGTAGGTCTATAGGGATATCTCTCTACTCGTGAACCCAATATCAAGATTTGACAATTAACCCGACTGTCCGCATATCCAGTCCGTTAATGGGTGCCAAAAACACCATCGTCTCGATACCCCGTCCGATATGAAAATGAACCATATCTCTAAAATTCTTTCGGTATGAGACTTCTCAGCCCCATCCAACTGAGATAATGTTCACGGTAGAGTTCCCTATATACCGGATCCGTCCACCTTTTTTCAGGATGCCTAGTAAACTTTCATTTATTTAGACTCTTATCATCCAAACAACCACTAAAATATACTAACATCTCATTTTATATTCACAGATTAATTTAAGTGATACTTAAACAAGTGATATAGTTTAACATAGCCAAATAACCAATAACCAAAATATTAAATAAATAATGTAGGGGAACCAAATAATCAAATAACTGAGAAGACCATAAAAACCATCAATTCAATTACGCACAGTATAATAGTGAGTAAATATAGGCAATACAGGAAAACAAACAAATAGAGAATCATGACAAATGTAAACTAACCGGTTCTGATTCCACTAGTGACTTGTAATATTTTTAGAGTTTTTTTAATTCTTTCACTAAACACACAATTATTGATTATTAATTTTTAATTTACCGTAATCAAGAATAGAGTGAGAAATCCTTACTTGGATTGATATTTTTAAATACCTTGCTATCTATTACGCCTCCTAACAGGTCTCGAGTTTCTTGAGTTTTTTCTATGAGAATTCAAAATACTCGTCACGTACCTAAAAATACCTCAAAAATCTAAAATTAGTGTTGAAAACTCTTTTCGGCCCATTTTAGGATTTCGGCAGGGTGGCACTGTGGTGCTTTGGCGCCGGTTCCACAGTCCATGGTGGCAGTTTGCCTTGGCCTGACTAGTTTTGATCGATTTTGGCCGGTTTTATACGTATCTTTGCAGAAAATACGTTAGGGAGTCTCGGTTGGTTAGAAAATTATAAAAAAATCGAACCCACCAGTGGAAGAGTCTCCGTGTGCGGAGGCTATGCCGGTTCTCCTTCGCGACTGGAGTTTCTTCTTCGACTAACTTGCACAGAAAGGGACGGTGAACGCAATGGTTAGAAAATTGTGTGAAACAAAAAACAGGAATAGGCTCATTGGAGGGGTTTTAGGATTTCGGCCGTGGTGGCTCCGCTGAGTTTTGCCTGCAGTTTCTGGCTCGCCCGCAGTTTCTGGCTTATTCGCTATTCTTTTTGCTCCGACATGGCCACAAGGAGACTTGAAATCAAATTCCAAGCGGATATGGGAGAATTTTACCTTTTTTGGCGGTCGACGGTGACTCTGGTGCGACAACTGATCTTTCTTCTTCAGCGAGGGCAGGTGCGGCTAGGGTTAGGGTCCTCCTGCGACGCGATGTTTATATACTTATCCCACGTCGATCTGGACCGTCCATTCACGTGAACGTGGAGCGAGGAGGTCATCCGATTGTTGCCTTTTTAGACCGATTACATGGGCGTTTTTGGGCCGTTCATCACAATTGATCTCGTTCGTCCGATCGTGTCTAATGAGAGAATGCATTTAAGTCGTTCGCGTGCGTAGGATTGAATCTGGGCCGTTGGATTGTTGGGCATGCGAATCACCCACGTAGCGCCGATGTCAGCATGTTTTACCACGCGGTGTGCTCTGATTTGTCATGATTGCTGACTGAGCCGTCATACGTAACTAAATTTCTCATTTTTGTGTTTTGACCCCCTGTCTTTAATTTTTCTTTCAAAAATACCCCCCAAACTTAAAATTTCACATCTCTTTTCAAAAATTGCTTTCAATTTCGTCCATAACCTATTTTTTTCAAATAATTTAATAAAATTAAATAAAATTAATATTTTAAATTATTTTTATAAATGTAAAAATTAATTCTGAACTAAATTTCGGGTTCGGTTATTACAAATAAATAGTTAAAGGAAGTTATAACTTCAAATTTTGAAAATTGGTGGTTAATTATCATATTCAAAATGAAGAAAAGTCACCACTTACTAAAATCTGGAGAAGAAAAAAAAAGTTACATAACAAAAAAGACTCTCTCTCTCACACAAAAAATTCTCCAACTTTGATTCTTGTTAACAAAAATGAGGATTTTTTTTTGTTGATTTGTTTCTTTAAAAAATTTGGATTTCTATAACAAATATTTATGTTATGAATATTTTTATATAGTTTATTATTTATTAATATGATTATATGTATTGTATGCATATTGACATTGAAAATTATGTATATTTATAAATTGTATGTTAATTCCATTAATTTCTAACAATTGTATTATAAAAATTATTGTAAGTCTCTAATTTTATTTTTATGTGGTTTTTGACTGTTTTTTTTAAAAAAGTTTCTAAGTTAATTTACTTATGAAAATAAATTTATTTTGAGACATGTCATTATCATTTATTAATTATATAATTGTCTCCTTGACTAAATTCATAAGCATTTAAAAATAAAATTAAACATGATATATTTAGAACTACACTTCTTACAACACTTGTTGAAAATCATCTTAATACTTCTCGTTGAAGTTGACTAAAAAATTATGCTCATGTCACTATTTACAATAAAATGATATATTTATTAAAAAAGTAACAAAAATAAATTAAAATATTTTCTTTTAAGAAGAAACAAATTAAAAACTCAACATATAAATTATATATTTTTTTAACTTAATTTTATCAATAAAATCAAATCAAATTGTAATGTCATTATTTAAAATCAAATTAAATAGATAACTAAACATTGTTAGATTAGATATAAATGGGTAACTATTATATATATTATCATGTTTATTTTATTTTAATATTTAAAATTATTTAAAACATATTTATAATTAATTAAAGATTAAGTTTTATTTTTACATAAAAAATAAAAAATTGATACATGACAATTTTCAATTTTATATTATATTATATAAGAGTATAAAAAAATAAAATTTAATAAAAAATAATAATTATCTAAAAAAATTAAAGTAAGTTAATGAACTCTAAACTCGGGTCTTAAAATCGATAATTTAGCAGAAATAGTCTTTCTTTTTTTTCTTTTTCAAGAAACGATTCGGATTAACGAGCAGAAAGAAATTGTACCTGACGAGTTGGTAAAATATCTACAAATACATGCATGACACCATATTTGCAGGCAGCCCTCGTGATGGTGGTGATGGGCGTTTAACAGTGCGGTTTGAAGGAACTTCTTCCCTCTTTTGTTTGTTTGCCTTGAATTGGCAATGGCTCGTTGAGATACGTGAAACATCTCCCAAGTGAAGTAAAAATTTAAATAGTTTAAATAAAACAAAATAAAAACTTTAACTCGCATTTATATACCAAAAATCATCAAATGTAATGGCTGCACAACGGCACTTGTCGTTGTTATTTGCTAACAACGCTGCTCAACAATAGTAGTCTGGCAGCACAGCATCACTTGCCTCTTTTCTATCTTTTCACTGAAGTTCTCAAAGTTCTAAACAACAAGTTCTATAATTTTTTTTTCTCCTTTTGTTTTTCAAGAAAGAATTATGGCCTTCAAAATGGGTTCTCCATCAAATGCAATGGGAGTAGTAGTAATGAGTCAAAATTGTGGAAGATCAGCAGTTGGGTGTCTTAAAGTAGTGGGTGATGGAGGTGTTGGTGGTAGGTTCCCTTCATTTCTTCCCAAAGAGATTGAGAAAATCAAAGACCCATTTGCCAGAGCTTTGGCGCGGAGGATAGAGAGGCTTCCTGTACCTTTGCAGGTTCTTTTCACATCTTTTTAATCCTTCTGCTCTCTCTCTCTCTCTCTCTCTCTCTCTCTCTCTCTCTCTGCAGTTTTCATGTTTGTACTAATATCTGAGTTACTGGGTTTTGCTCCATTTAGTGATTGGTTCTCAATTTAAAAGGTTTCTTTTTGTTTTTTGAAACTGGAAGAAAGTTTCTTCAAATGGTAAATATGGTAACAGGAGAGATGGATTAGTGTCCATGATTAGCCTTTCTTTTTCCTGTTGGAGATCACATGAGAATGTGAGAATCTTGAGTGGTGATGAGACACAATCATTCATGCACTTGGATGGATAACATGATTAAAGAGGAGATTGTCTCTTTAGAAAGAACCAACGGGTAAAAAGTGTTGAGATTATTCCTTTTCTTATGAATTAATTATATGATTCTTTGAGATTAAATGAGACTGAAATTACCCATCTTAAGTCATACTCACTTCAAGTAAATAAAAATTTTAAAAGCGATATATTTTGTGAAGGAAAGGAAATTTAAAAAAATTAAGATCTGTCATCATCATTACTATTTGGAATTTTGTGGGAAGATAAAAATGTTGTAGAAAGAAAAACGAAGGAAGATCTATGGATCCGAAAGAATTGTAGAAATGTAGTTTTCAGTGCTACAAAATTTTGAAATCAAGTATCAGATGCACAAATGTATGCCGTTCACAAATATCAAGCAGGTACTGCAAGAAATTCTGAAACAGACTATTTATAGTTATTACTTGGAGAGTAGTAATTATTGAAAAAATATGTACTATTTGCATCATTCTTTCTACTGTACTATGATTCCTTTTGCTAAAGATTGTGAATAACTATCTTCAGATTCTAATAAGTTTTAGTAAGTCCAAAATGGTTTTGATGAAGTTGTCTAGATGATGAAATACAGGCTTCTGTAGCTTTTCAAATTCTATTTTTTGAAGTTTGTGGTGGATGTATAATCAGATTGTCTGGTTGAAAAAAATGACAGTACTTGTTTTAGGTTTGCTTAATGTTCTTGATGTTTTCTTTACCAAAGAAAAATGTTATTGATGTTTCAACAAAATTGGCTTCCTTGTCATGATGCGCTTGTTTATTGTGTTATTGCCATTGGTCTTCTTGCCAATGTGAGACTTATCACGTGCACTTGTGATAATTGCAGATTGGAGTGTCGGAATGTTGTATAATGAGTAGTTGTTTAAAACCGCATATGCAATTTGAAAAACATCCTGTTGTTCTTCTCCATTGCTTTGACAGGTTTGTGATGTTTGAAGCAGGGCTCCACATACATTGTTACCTTATTTCTAACTGAATTTTGCAATATTTTGTACTTCTTAGTTCTTGTTTAGAATGGAGATGCACATACCCCTTGCTTGAGCAGGCTGGTCTCGAGGCTTGGGCCATTGATGTTCTTGGATGGGGGTTCTCTGATTTAGGTATTTTGACTGGTCTTAACTCTTCTGATGAAATGAAGCTATGCTTGACGTTTACTTAACTGGGGATATGTGCTTTGGTACTAACTGTTTCTTAATTTTCACTTCTAACATGCCTTAGAAAGGCGTCCACCTTGTAACGTAGCATCTAAGCGTCACCATCTATACCAGGTACATAATCAATTTCCTTTTATTTGACTAGTTTTACAATTTTGGTTTAATCACCTTTCTCTTTTTTATACTTGGTTTGCTGTGACAAGTTAACTGTTTTATCATGTTTGTCAATAATTATCTTAATCTTCAAACAGCTTAACCTCTTGCATTTGCGTTTCAATTTCTCAATTATTGGACTCTTATGATTTACGTTGGCATCATGGGTTGGATTTGTAGAATGGTCTTGATCTCCAAGTATGTTACTTTAGATGGTAATTGCTCTATTATAATTTGTTTTTTCCTGTTTTTATCCCAGCTTTGGAAGTCCTACATCAAAAGGCCCATGGTTTTAGTTGGACCAAGCCTTGGTGCTGCAGTTGCTATTGACTTCACAGTCAATTATCCAGATGCTGTAAGTTTATCTCCTATGATTCAGGTCATTATTATTTACATGTGCTGTTGAAGCAAATATTTTCTTATTCTGCCTCAACCTATTTCCTATTTTCTCTTGCAACATTTGTTAGTTTATCTGGTTGTTGATTTTTAGCCTTGCAAGCTTTGATAGATTATCCAGTAAAATATTCTGCAATCAGAACCTGATACTCTACAGAAAAAATACTGGTACACCTAGAAATGAGAGGATGGAATAATGCCAAAGAAATTTTCGAAAAATCATCTTAGTTGAATTTGCAGTCAGATGAATTTTTGAAGCCAATAATGAAGTACCTGTAGTCTTTTCCCATGCTTGTCTGCAGATCAATTATCGATATGTCACGTATCTTTGACATGTAACTAGTGAATTTTTGAAGTGTAAAAAGAGAAGAGAATAGGATGGAAAAAGAAGACAGAAGAAAGGATACTCGGCAAGAATGCTAAGAACCAAGAGATTTTGTGCTTAATATTTGTCATTGTTGAAAGAGTGGATTACAGATCTATATATACTCCGAAATCAGACTACAATCTAACTGAAAATCTTGCGGATCTAAACAGAATGAAAATGGTTACAACAAAGAAGAGATGAAGAAAGAAACCGCTAGCTGTGGTGGGAAGACCCTAACCAAATATTGATGATCAAGACTGATATGAATCCTGGTGGATTGCATTGTTGATCCTGGGTTCCGCATTGGAGACCCTTTTTTCTCTCTTTCACTCAGATTCTGCCATGTTAATTAACAGCTGTCTGCCTCTGATATACTATCAGGGGCTTTTCTACTCTGTTTCTGAGTCTATCTTTTTTCTCTTGAGTCCAGTTCGGGACAGAATACTCAAGTTTTGCAAGTTTGGAAATGATTTTTGTGACTAAGGGCTGGAAATGAATCTACCTCTGCAAAAGCATAATTTTCATAAAAGATAGCCTGCCCTCATTGTAAGTCATAGAACTGGTGCCTGTGGTGTTGGTGCTCAGATGAGTCTTTATTGTTAGGGAATTGGTGAAATAGAAAAGAATGATGTGATTGTTGAAGACAGACAACATCCTCAATTATTTTGGTCAACTTACATCTTATATATAAATGATTCCACTTGAGTGCACTAGATTAGGATTCATTCCAATGGCTTGCTGCTGCCGAGGCAGTGTAAATACCCTAGACACAGATAGTCCAGGTATTATAATGTCAATGTTTAGTTCTCTCACTTTCATGGTATACCTGTTCCTCCTTATCACTGTGTACCTCAAACTCTCGCCTAGGATATGGTAAGTTGATGATATTGTGCTTATTACATATTTTTGCTCCTCTGCAGGTAGAAAAGTTGGTTTTGATCAATGCAAGTGTATACTCGGAAGGCACAGGACAATTGGCGAAGTTGCCTAAAATACTCGCATATGCTGGGGTTTGTCTCCATATTCCATCATATTTACTGTTCTTGTTTAGCTTTTGAAGGTCGTTGATCTTCAGGATATCACATCTTAGTTTCATTTACTTTATTTTTCATCTACTACTTACCTAATTTAGACATTTGAAGTTATTGACGGTACTAGCAAATTATCATTATAACATTATAAATTTTTTGTGAGAATCAAAGTAGGTAACTTGACTGATGAAGGACTATATCATTATTTTGGTCATTCTTGTTAGAAAAATAATTCCTATTCTAATACTTAGATGCCTCTGTCATTCATATATGTTTACTCCTTTTACAATTCGTTCAAGGATATTAGAAAATAATTACACTGTTCATGTTTAGAAATCACTATTTCCTCTTTGTTCTGACAGTTCTTTTTCCTTCATTCCCTTAAATGGCTAATAATGGTGATTATTAGGAACTATTAGATTTCTCTATGCTACGGAATTATTTTAGTCATTTGTCAGATAATTTATTCTGTCAGGACCCTCTGATCCTTCTATATTTCTTTATGTATCAGGTTACTTTACTGAAGACCTTCCCCTTGCGTCTTTGGGCAAATATATTAGCCTTCAAGGGGGTTCCATTGTCTATAAACATAGACTGGACTAATGTAAGCGATTTTGTTTTCTCAGCTTACGATCAAAATTCATGATTTTACCATTTTCAGACAGTATTTGCAATGTCAGGGACTTATGTATTGTAATGAACCCACTAACCAGTTTGCTTGAAGCTGCATAAATGGAATCTAATATTCATTTTATTCTCATGCAAAACTCCAGGTTGGCCGCTTACATTGCCAACTGCCTTGGTGGGAAGATGCAACAGTCAACTTTATGGTTAGTGGAGGTTACAACGTTATTTCTCAGATAAAGCAGGTAAAGTATATGATAGACAAATATTAGTAACATTTCACACAAACTTTACATGCTTTTTAACTGAAGATATGGTTCTTTGTTATGGTAGTTGCTTGTAATATCTGACCAAATCCATTTACGACTTTCTGTGAAGAGGTAGAAAAATTTCCATGTCAATCTTCCAATTTTTCTTTTTGACTTCTCAAGTTTTTGCTAAAACAAGTTCTCTGTACTCCTCAATGTCCTCAATGAGTGCCAAGCTTGCAACAGTGATAGGGGAGTTATGACTCTGTTTGATACATAAAAATATTTTTGAGGTTTTATTTTCTAAATTTGCATGTGTTCATATATAGGTTATTTATGGAAGTGCTGAGAAGTGTGTATTATGGAATAATCAATAAAAGAAATTAGAAATTGTTTTACATACTAAATGGAGTCATTCCATTCAGTACATAAGAATAAAGTTTATTTTTTATTTTCTAGATTTATGTGTGGTTATGCATATTTTTATTCATGAAAGTATGTAAGAGTTGCATGTTTGTATAATAATTAAAGTATAGATAAAAAAGTTTTCTGGAAAGCACTAAATAGTATCTTAAGATTTTCTGGCTCAATAGTAATCTTCCTCATAATTTTCTTCATCTTTAACTAACGTATATGGTTTTGTGTATAAAATACATATAAATTTAAAAAAACAAAAACAAAAACTAGAAAAACTTTCATGTAATGGAGCTAAGTTTCTTGAGACTAGACTCCTAGAACTGCTTTAGTTGTCGATTAGGGTCTTTTTCATTCTGTGAAACATTAGGGATGAGCAATGAACTGTTTAACTAGGTCGTGAAAACTGGAAAGTACCCAAACTGACTTTCCTTACACTCAGGCAGAATTAGAACCAAATAACCTACAACATGCAACTAGGGATTTTGCTTTTGTTGAAAGAATGCAATTGCGGATCAAAAACTGAGGTAGGATAAGTCTCAGAAATGACCTTTTCCATGCCAACAGTGTGTTTCTCTTCTACATGCAGGTAAAACAGAAAACACTCATAATCTGTGGTGAGAATGATCAGATTGTCAATGGTCAGCTTGCAGTGGTAAGTTTTTGTCAAATCAAAATATTAACAATGATTTACTCTTATCTATCATGAGTCATCTTAATGGTTGAAAACTAAATGTCTTAAGCCGCATGATCATACAATTGTATAACTTAATACTTGATCAAGAGATACGCAAAGATCAAGTTTGAGGGTTAGAACAGCTAATAGATTCTTAGCCTATATTTGGAACAGATTAGAAGTTTTTTTCTTTAGATTTGTTTGCAAATCCATGCTTTATTAAAAGATTGTTGAAAATTCTCTATAAAATAAAAAGAATCGAACTCATAAGAAATGCATGTCAAACTCAATCAATTTTCATGGTTTTAAATACATTGTTCTAATTCCACGTGAAATTTCATCCATGATCAATTTCTTTTATCAGTCTAAACAATTTACATTCTTTATTAATTGAACAAAATTTGGTTTTATAAATAAATTTCACAAAATCCAATTTTTGCTCTAGACATATTCTTAGCTGTGGTTCTTGACATTTGGAATTCTGACCTTGTAGCTTTTATCCTCTAAGAATCAAATCAAACATACACTAGAACAATCTGCATAGCTAATTCAAATGATATTCAAGTCTGTATAATCAATTTTGAAGGCCATAATTTGACTGCCCTCTTTTTCTATGAACATGATGTAGAGGCTGCATTCTGAGCTACAGAATGCAATTCTGCGACAAGTACCTGATTGTGGTCACCTCCCCCACGTCGAAAAGCCTGATCATGTCGCCAAGTTGATTGTTGATTTTGCTAGAGGTGATAATTGATGACAAGGCAGGCTACATAGAGACATAGAAGGTTATCACTAGCGATAACCCTGTTTGACGATCAATGCTGGTAATTGCCTTCGTAACACAGTTTAGTATTGTCTTGAGATAGGTAAAAGGAATCAGTCTTTTGTGAAAATCATTCTGATATTTAGGGTATATTGTCATTCCGTATGGTAGTTCCTCATTTGGCCGTGTAAGAATAAAATTTCTGGATGAGTTAACTTTGGCTGTGCATGCCATAGAGCCTCTATGATGAGCTCCAAAATTATTCTGGTCCCTGACTTTTGTTTTTTTGTTTTTCCTTTTGTCCCTGACCTTTTACATTCTTAAAATTAAAGATTTACCCTTTTCATTTTGTTTCCAATTTGATCCTTCCCGCAATCTTTAAATTATTTGCACGTAGTATATTTATAAGAATAAGAGTATATAAATTCTCTGAATATTTACCATTTGCAAACCAAAGGTGAATGCTCTCTGATCTTTTCCATTTAGTCCTTACTGGATGTCAATTCAATATGTATTATATGCTGAGATTACATCAAGGAATAAAATGTGGAACTGGGTTGAAGCAAAACAGTAAAGCATTTAAGTGCTTCTACCACAGACCAAAAGAAGCTATGTTTGTTTTGCTTCAGAGACAGAGAGAGCCATATAGGAACAAGAGTGAGAAGAGCAGAAAGCTTCCATTGTCATTTGCATTTTAAACTGGAGGCTGTGTTAGTAAGTTTGTTAGCTTCTTTTTCTAATAATTGAGTTTAATTTAGAACGTATGATGTTTCTTTACACAGTTATGGTTTTGTAGAGAACCCTATAATTGAGTGATGTTTTTGTAATTTATTCATGAACATAATAATACTGATAAACTAAAAATTGATGTATGAGAAAACACAACCAATCCTACAATAGGAAATGATTTTTCCATTGTAACAAAAAGAATCAACAAAAATGAAAATATGAGAAGGGAAGAGTTTATTTCAGTTGTTAAACGACCTAACCGAATTTATTCGGTTATTTTAATTTTGATTTTTTTATTTTTATATCTCAATCTGTTGAATTTAATTATTTTATTTTGATTTATTTTTTTTTTAATTTTTAAATTTTTTAACCGTAATTGATTTGATTGATATACATTTTTATTAAAAAATTGTTTGTAAAAAATCATACATCATTAATTTTAAAAAATTAAAATATAATTAATTATTTTAATGGACTAGTACCTAAAAACATTTTAGGTTATATTATTTAATTTCTTAATTTAATTATATATATATTTTTTTAAAAATTGCTATTTTATAAATTTTTTTAAAAATGATCTTTTAAAATAATTTTATAAATTTAAATAAAAAAAATTTAGAACAGAACAGTGTAACTCAACATATATTAACATAATAACTTAAAATATGCTTAAAAAGTGAGATTCAATTTAAAAGATACACTCGAACCAAACAATTTGGTAATTTACTTTATTTTATAAAGAAATGTCTCGCAGTACGTCCCAAATAGTTGGACTTAAACCCTAAATTCCAATCACCGTCTTTCCCCGTTTTCCCAATCTCTTAAACCCTCTTCGAGGTTCTACGGTTATATTGGTTCGGAGGGGAAAGGAAAAAGGCAACGAAGAGAAAAGAAATAGATGGATATCGATGAAGGAAGGGAAGAAGAGGCATCGAGGAGGATTCACGTGAAGTTCGTGACGAAGCTAAAGCCTCCCTTCAAAGTTCCTTCAACTTCCATTGCTATCCCCTCTAATCTTACTCGCCGCGGCCTCTCCTCTATTGTCAACTCCATCCTTAGAGCCGGTAAATCTCTCTCTCTCTCTCTCTCTCTCGTTTAGATGTGCGTAAGTACATGTATTTATACACGTGTTGCGAATACATGTACAAATTACTTAAATATATGCATGCCGCATATACCTATTTTCCAAATTGAAGTACTGAGTTTTGGGATGTATTTTGAGCAGATAACCCTGAATGGGAATCGGAGCCCTTTGATTTTCTGATCAATGGAGAGCTTATTCGGCTATCAGTTGAGCAGTTTCTTCTTGCCAAAGGAATTTCCGCGGTACTTCCATTCCTCCATCTTTGTCTTATTGCTAAGTATCTTCAGTAATCATATATATCCTTAGTTGAAATGCATAGTTTTATGAATCCACTCTGTTTCTCGGTGAAGAATGAAGGATTTGAAAAATGCGGGAAAAAGTAGAGTATTATATAAGAGAAGAAGCATAATTTATTTTATTGCTTGATTTTCTGAGGAAAATGATGCTTAGAAATAGTTAAAAAAAGGGAAATTTATGATGGATGCAGGACTTGTTGGATCTTCTGAAAGCTTGTTATTCTTGGCTATCTTTTGGGGTTTTTCATTTACTGAACATATTTGGTCGGGCTTGCTTGCATCTTAGAATTTTAGTCATGTTATGTTTTCATGCTAAAATACTAAAATAACTGTATTTAAGAAGCTTTTACTTTTTAAAGTATTTTTCCTGTTTAAAACGGACTAGAATTTATTCCTTGTTATAGGAAAAAACTCTGGAAATTGAATACATAAGGGCAGTGGCCCCACGAAAGGAGGAAGAGCCTTCTTTACATGATGATTGGGTTAGTGCAGTTGATGGTTCTAATCCAAGGTAACCATGTCACTTACTTTCACTCTGTATACTGATTTTGGGAGTAATATATTTTGAAATGCACTTGGGATATCTTTAATGAGCATAAATTAAGCAATTTAACTTTGTTTTAAGCTGGATAAGTCGTGTAATTGTTTTCTCTAGATTGATTCAAACTTGACCATGGTATTATTTTTTTGATGGATCACATGCTAGGAAGAGCATATGCCAATCTTATTTTGAGGCCAATATGCTCAATCATCAATTTGGTATATTTTTGCACCTTCTCTCTGTATTAATTTCCTTTGGTGTCTTCAACAATCCAGTTCCACATAATGCATTAGAGTGGCCAGCTTGTACGTGTGTTTCTGAATTTGTGATCTTTTCACCGAGCAACTTTCAAGTCTTGTTGGACAGTCTTCATAGTAGAAAGTCAATGAATGTGCTTCTCACTCCTTTGGCCACTGCATTGGTTATTTGGAAAACAAAGGAGTAGAAGAATTTTTTTGGGCATTTGCTCTGCTTTGATAGAATGAGAGATCACTGGTCCCTGACCTTATTGTTTTTGTTCATCCTCTCCTTGATTGAGACATTCTTGGGATGCTGTTAAGTTTGCTTTTTGTACATGGGTTGTGTGATCTTGGTGCCTTGTATACAGTACTTCCTTTCTATTGGCAAAAAAATGGAAGTTGCAAGTCTTACTCTTTATGACTGTTCTGCTTATTTCTTAGTTGGGTCTATTTGTTGTCTCCTGAATTAGTTGCATAATTTTTTCCTGCTAGCTTTATATAGAAAAATTGTTTTAATCCTTCCCTTAAGAATATATGCCCTAAACTGTCTCTAGTTATTGAAGCACTCTGGCTGTCTTTGCTGTTGGAATTTCTATAATGAAGTGGATTTTTTTGTTTAACTTTGTAATTTCTCGTATCATATGTTGCAAGTATTGGTACGCCATTGCTGCAAGCTATAGATGTGAAAATAATATCTTAACCTCCACAAATGTACCTCATCGGGCATCTGCTATTATGGGAGTTCAGTAAGAACTTGCAGACTTTAAACTTTTCATATGTACTTGGATAACCTGAGAGATCTGAAATAGTGTGATTTTAAAGATAAAACACCTAAAATGCATTGTGAAGCTGACATTTTTCTAAGAGATGGCAATTCGAGTAGCCTTCTCTCTATGCATTTTCAAAAACTGCATATTGTTAACTATTTGATCCTGCTGGCATATCTGAGAAGGTAACATTACCCATAAGTTTCTTTTTATTCATCAATTTATTTGCAGATAATCAATCGCTGTTATCTGAATATTACACGTGTCATTTTGCAGGTTCATTTTGACTGGTTGCTATGATGGCTTTGGAAGGTAATAATACAAGAAGCTTTGACCCTAGTAATTTCTAACCTTTGCATCTATTTTTACTTTCATTATATTCATTTTGATAGTTTTTCCTGCATCGGAGGTTATAGTTTGCAACTTCTGCCAATGACACCCTAACAACTTAGTAAATTTGTATATGGGTGGTACCCCATCGGTACCCTGTTAATATGGATTTACAGTTTTTATCTCAAAAAAAAAAAAAAAAATTCTGCTAATATTCATATTTTCAATTTTATTCTTCTTAGGATTTGGAAGTCTGCTGGTTTGTGTGCGCATATACTTGAAGGGCACAGTGATGCTGTTTGTTCTGTTAGTATTGTCAATTCAGAAGGTGTGAATAATCCTTTGTTTTCTTTAACAAGCTTACTCTTTTGTTAAGAGTTATTCCATATTGTGATGCTTCCTTTTCTTTACCAAAAAAAGGTGACTGGTGTTTGTTGGAGCATGTCACAGTAGATTATTCTAACTTTATGCCTGATTTACTCCCAATTACTTAATGTTGTTCAGTTGGTTCCTTGTGATAAAAAAGAGAGACTGCAGCATCTCTCTCTTTCTGTTACAATCAAATAAATGAGCATCAATCAATGTGGTGATAATTTTTATCTAACTCAGTAGTATAATTTGCAAGTAGTAATCTGCAGATTAGTCATTTCGACTCATTAATCATTGTAAAGCAAGATTGGATTAATTATATTAGATTATGTGATTCTTTTAATGCCATTTGCTTCCACTTTTTTGATGCAGGGCCATCTGGCATAGCTTTACAATCATAGGTTACTACTAGACTGATATATTTTAGCAGGATTTGGTCAGAAATCTTATACTATTAATGTTTTCTATTTATGTCTTCTAGTCATGTTAGGTTTTTGTAAAGACCCTATATTTATATGGGTGATTTGACATTATTGTTGTGAGTTCTTATGGATAAGACTTTTTGATGCTCTTATTGATTGAGTACTTAACTCCTGTAATTGTGATTGTGATAAAGTTTGATAATAGTTATTACCGATCCTTGTGGTTGGGACATGAATTTTTCTACTTCTTTCTTCTCTGTAAAAACAATTCTGCTATGCTACATCACTCTTGTCCCGACCTCCGGTGCTTGAAGGGAAGGGCTTTGTTATTGAAGCAATATTTGACTTATGAATTCATCACTTAGTCTATGAACTATATTTACCTCTCGCTTTACTGTTCTTTCATTCAGTAAACAAAACGTCTATGCTCTTTGGAGATTCTGCTAAAATATGCATCTTTCTTGATCTTTATATGCAGGTACAGATGTTACTATAGCTACTGCTTCAAAAGATTGGACTTTAAGGTTGTTTAAGGTAATCCAGAGATGGATTTTTTTGAGATAAAAAGATGGTTCAAGATTAAGGTCTAAATGCAATCAATTAATATTTTCTTTTCCTGTGAAAGTTTGATGCTGAGGAGTCCGGGGATTATCCTACAAAGCTAAGGGCATTTAAGATCTTGCGTGGGCATAAGGCATCAGTACAAAGTGTTGCAACACAGACTTCTGGGAACATGGTCTGGCCATTTTTCTTTGTATTCTGTATTTTTACGGCTTTTAGATGTTCAGTACTGATCTTTAGCATCAGCTTCGCTGCTTTCATCTCTTTTCTATTTATATATTTAGGTTTGTTCTGGTTCTTGGGATTGCACAATTAATATATGGCGAACAAGTGATTCTGCTTCAGGGGGTGATTCGGTGTCAATCAAGAGAAGAAAAGGGAATGATCAGACCGAGGAATCTCAGTTAGAGGTATTTGCATGCCTTCAACTTTTTTATGGTGCAGCAACTGAATTTCAAAGTTTCCAAAAACATTTTTTCATCATTTTCCAAAGCTTGTAAGGTACAACATAACCATCCTGTGACTGGAAACAGTCAGTCTTATGCTTGCTGGAAACTTATTTTTGGTGCTTTTATATGTACAGTGCTGTTTTATTTCCCATGCAGGGGGAAGCTGTGACTACTCTTGTGGGCCACACGCAGTGTGTCTCGTCTGTGGCTTGGGCACAACACAATACAGTCTACTCTGCATCTTGGGATCACTCTGTTAGAAGATGGGATGTTGAGACTGGGAAAGATTTGTCAGACATAGTATGTGGAATCCCTTGTTTTCTTCTTTCTTTCTTTTTTCTCAGTGCACTGACACAAATGCTTGCTACATAGCGAGAGAAAATATTTTATGGAGTTTCCCTTTTTTCCTCAATTTTTGTTGGGTCACATACACCAATATGTACAATTTGCAAAATAGGGAAGATAATAGTCCTCATTGAGTTAGATGAATTTTCAACATACATTTTGCTACACAATGAGACAATATTCTCTAGAGTTTGCTTTTTGCAAATTTGTAGGGTCTGATACATTAACAAATAAGCCCTCCCATACATTTTCTTGGCCATATGATTAAACATGCACTTATCTGTTTGTGAATGTTACCACTCCTGTAAATTCATGAAATGCTTCTTCCTCAAGAGTTCGGACCCCATTCAACTGATATGCTCTCATAATTTAGTCATTTGGCAATCTGACATAATACTGAGATGTGATGCAAAATGGACTAGACTTAGAATTTCTAAATTTATTAGGAATTATATTTATTTTTCATCTAAAATTTGTTGCAATAGAGTGATAATATTGGTCTTTAGCAGTTTTATGGTTTTATTTACAGTTTAAGTTACTTTTAAGCTTTAAGATTTTTGTTACATAATCATGGTCCACTTAATCAAGCACTATAGATATCCTTGAGGCCTCACTTTTTGAAGTCAGCCTTTAGGATCTAATTTTTTCCAAGAGTTCTCTTTTATTGTCCCCTGCAATCTTTGTTTTGCACTACTTTACCGTTTTAAGCAATTTTATCTGAACAAAGGTAGAAATGTTAATGTTGGATGAGTTAAAAAAGTTAACATACACGGCTTATTTTGGGTTTCAAAAAATCTTTACAAGCAAGTTAATCTTGCATGTGTTAGAAAAGTAAAAATATTATAGAATAAAAACTGTAAGGATCCTGATTTGGACAGCTTCTTTTGTATGTCATTCATCCTTTGGAAGCATGCTACAGTATTGTTGATAGATCATTGGCATCAGCACACACCATGTGCAACAATTAAGACATACTTGACACATTAGATGTGATCATTGTCCTTCATGTGCAGTTTTGTGGTAAAGTCCTGAATTGTGTTGATGTTGGAGGTGAAAGTTCTGCCCTTGTTGCTGCTGGTGGATCTGATCCGATTCTTAGAGTATGGGATCCTCGGAAGCCAGGTCTGTTTAGTACAGTGTTGCTTCTTCTCTGTCTGTCTGTATGTCTATCAGTGACGAACACATACACATGCGTGTTTGTTTCCATGCATGCAAGAATATGCACTTGAAAGAATATGAATTTATTTCTTCTTTTTCTAGGAACCTCTGCTCCTGTGCTTCAGTTTTCATCCCACACTTCTTGGATTTCTGACTGCAAGTGGCACGACAAATCTTGGTTTCACTTACTTTCTTCATCTTATGATGGGAAAGTTATGTTATGGGATATAAGAACTTTGGTATTACTTCCCTTTCCTTTTTCATTTTTTGAATATAATCTCTGTAGGCCAGCACCACCTCGCATAAGTGTTCTATGAATACTAGATGATTCTCTTTTTCACTCTCTCTGTTTTTTTTTTGCAGTTGCCTTTGTCTGTCATTGATACGCACAAGGACAAAGTATGTTCTCTTCATCGGAGTGCTTTTGTTGTTCCTATGCAGATTAACTTTACCTTTCGTATGTGACCTTTTTGCTTTATTTTAGGTATTATCTGCTGACTGGTGGAAAGGTGATAGTGTGATCAGTGGTGGGGCAGACTCTAAGCTTTGTATTTCTTCTGAGATTTCTATCCAGTGAGGTAATTCTGCAATTCTCTCTTTTTTTCTCATCTTGCCTGGAAAAAGGGGATGAAGGTGCGAGCCTGCATCTTTAAATGTCAAGCATTCTTGTTGATGCAGGGTGCCATTTTGTCTCAAAGAAATTTGTTATTATTTTTTAGACACATAGCTGGATTGTTTTATGGTGCTCAATGAATGAATAGTTCACCATGAGAAGCACCTCCTGTTATAGAAAAGCGTAATTAATAACTTTCTAAACTTTTGCTGAATAAGCTGCCAACCTTGGATTTGACATACCTTTCAGTGGCCAAAATTAAAATGCATTAATAGGTGGGTTTCAGGTTTCAATTTGAAATGACAATTAATAAAAGTACAGTTAGGCATGTTGACAAGTATTATCAGCTTTTGACGGAGGGCATATGGTATCTTGAAAGCTTATGATGAAAGCTAGTTTCCCTAGGAACCGCCAAAAAATGTGAAAGATCAATCCGCCTGATAGCTTCTTTATCTGTTTATGCGCTTTTGGATTGGTTCAATCATCCCTTTTTCTTTTTATGTTGTGTCATTTACCATCTTGAACCTTTCTATCTCCATTCAAATCTTTTTATTTCTGTATTTTTCCGTAACAATGTCATGATCTTGGATCCATGATCTTATGCTAGAGCCATGGAGTGATTGTTTGAATTTTCTCATTCAATTTTGATGATTGAGAAAATTTCAATGTCCTTCCATGGATGGAATTACATCTTGAACTTGGTTTCCAGGTAGATGAAAAAGTTTTGTTAGATATTCAAAGGGAAGATGGAACCAACCTAAAAGGAGAATGAAGGGGGCCTTGGCATACAATCTTTTTTCCTCGTCCAAGAGGGGCTGGTGATAAAAGCTATTCTGGTTGCATCTGCTAATTAATTTCTTCAAAATTGTATTTTATAAAATATCGTTGAATTTCTCAAATCCACAACTGTAGATGGGTCGACCTTGTTAACTTGGTACCACTTGATAGGTTTTGCACAATTTTGTTGGGTAAGCAAATATTTGATAGATATCAATGCGTATCGATTTAACAGTTTTTCACCCATTCTTGGTTTACTCTCTCTCTCTCTCTCTCTATATATATATATACATATGTATACGTACATATATATATACACACACACATTTGCATCATTGCATGGATCCTGACTGAGTTTTTTTGTAGTTGAAACATCCGAATTTTACTTTTCCTAAAGACAGCCGAAAAGATACTTGTATAGAGTAAAGACTAACTTTATGAGAAGAAAAAAAAAAAAAAGAGAAAAAGAAACCTACCCTTTGTAATTTCATGAGATAAAGTTATTATTTGGATGCTTCAGAAAAATTAAGTTGTATGATTAATTTTTAATTTCGAGGATGATGTGGTTTCCAAAGTACAGGATTTGTGTGCTCCTGCCGAAAAGGTGGATTTATAAAAAAAAGAAAAGTTTTCAAGCTTTAACCGGTACGTCCGTGTGCTAACTCCGTGAAAACTTTTTTCCCGAATTATGACGGAACTACCCTTGCTTTTCCTTTTTTAAAGAACCCAACTTTACATTGTCTGTCAACTTAAAGAATAATGGTGCCTTAAATTAAAAATTAAAACTTAAATTCAGGTTCGTATTTTGAGTTTATAAAAGATTAATAAATTTAATTACTTAATAATTAGTTTTTTTTTATATTTTATTTAAAAATTACGAATTAAAAACATTACTTAGTAAACTTTATAATCGGTTGATTCATTATTATTATATTATTAAAATTATAGTTATTAAATTGAGTTTATATTTTGTGATAATTAAATTTTTTTAATTTGAATAATTAAAATAAATTAAAGAAATTTGACATAATTTTTTTATCTCTAAAAATATATATAACGTTAAAATATCTTTTATAAATAATTTGAAATTTTTTTTAATAGTTTTGTATAGTACCCCTTAAAAAGAAAAGAAGAAGACCAGAAAATGAGAAAAGGCCACTAACGTAATATCAGCGAAGATGGTCAACTAGGCAGCGGTAGTAATTTTTCGCAATCCCAAGTTTCTTGAATACCGTTTTTTTCTCTCTCTACAACCTTCTCTGCCATATAAAATGCCTCACTCTCCGCGCCATTGCTGCTTTGGGTTGCATTGCAACACAATCTCTCATTGATCGCCATTAGTGTTAAACATGAGACTTTTGCAACTCTTTTGATATTACTTCCCTTTTTTGTGTCAGGTTAGTGAACAACACATTAAATCTCTTTCTTTCTTTAAAATCTGATTCCTTATCCAACAAATCTCATGTAAATCTGATTTTCCTTAATATCAACCAATACCCATTTGATTTTAGAAGGAAGGGAATTTATTGATATTAAATTTGTGTGTTAATCTTTGTTGCTTTTTTTTTTTTTTTCTCCCTATCCGAGTATAGGATCACAGTAATGTATCATCATTGTCGATTTGTATCTGTTATATGAGTGTGGCCTATGGTTTAAAGGTGCCTGTCTACTATACCTATGTTTTATGATTTTTCTGTTTAAATGGGTTATTGTCTCATTTGTTGCGGTAGAATTTTTACTGATTAAAATTTTAGTTTTTATCATGATAAACATTCTATTTTTTATGGGTTTCTTTTTTCTCTGTTAGTAGCTTCATGGTTTGATCGGTTGAGGATTGTTTGCTTATCAATTGCTTAGCATATCTTCTTCAAAAGAAAAAGAAAATTTCTTAGCGGGTGAAGTTGCTGACTTTTGTTGACAGGAAAAAATGGGTGTCATGTTGATGTCCGGCTTGACATCTGGGATCCTTCCCTTCCGCCCTGTTGTTTCTTCTGTCAAACGTCGTGGGCGGGTCTCAGATTTACATAATGGGCATAGCCTTCTGAGCTCTGGAGGCCCTTCTCGTGTCAAAAGGTCTTTTAAGTTGAAATATGTTCCTTTTTGTTTATGGTGAGTCCATTGGGCTGCGCTTAGTTTGTTTGCTTCACCATGCTGGTCTTGCAGGAAATTTCTGCATAATGAAAACTGGAAGCCGAAATCAAGAGCTATTGTTTTTTCTACGGTAAGTCTTTTTATTGCTCTTTTCAATAGCTCTTTTCATATAAAAGATTGCAGATGTTGGGTTAAAAGTTTGTTTAGATACTTTTCATAAAAGAGCTTATAACATCACAATATGAAGAGAAGTCAGTTATGTTTACCAAAAATATATTTCTAGTTGATTCATGCAAATCATACCATAGTTTAATGCTCACCCTTTATGAGAAAAGATGATTTTGCTTGATATGATGGTTTTTCTCTGAAGGAGTGACAATGTGTCAACTCTTTGGGGGTTAATTACTAATGGTTGAATTTCCATGACAGGATGATTCTACTGATGCTTTTGCAGATGGTTATGGCGATGGTTATTCATCATCAAGGAGTGGAGTTTTGAGAAAAATAGAAGATGAATTAACAGAAGTGAAAAAGGCTCTTTCTGAGGCCCAAGCCAGACAAGGAAGTATTGAACAAGAGAGAAATCAATTGCTTGACGAGCTTGCTAGGGCTGAGGTGAAACAGCAGGAGTATGTAGCCGCCATCTTGCATGACAAAGAAATTGCTATTGCCGAACTTGAGGCAGCCAAGTCTCTGTTCCATCAGAAGCTGCAGGCATCAGTGGAAGAGAAGTTTGCATTGGAATCTAAGTTGGTCCTTGCAAAACAAGATGCTGTTGAACTTGCAGTACAGGTTGAAAAGTTAGCAGAGATTGCTTTTCAGCAGACCACATCTCAAATATTAGAAGATGCTCGGATGAGGGTTTCAGCTGCAGAGACTTCTGCTGCTGAAGCAGCTTATCAAATTGAAGAGCAAATCAGGAATGCTACTGAAGGTACCATATTATCAATTGTGGAGCAGTCAAAAAATGCTATAGAGAAGGTACTAGATGTAGCAGAAAAAGCTGGTGACCATGCAACAAAAGCTGTGGCAATATTTAGTGACAGTCTGAATCCTCTAGATGAGATTGCTTCACTCCAGCAAGAGAAGACAAAGTTACAACGTGTCATAGGCGATTTAGAGTCTGAATTATTGCTCAAAAGAAGTGAGGTTGATATGTTGAAGTTGGAGCTGGAACAGGCCCATGCGCAAGTAAATGCATTTGAACTCCGGGCCAATGATACTGAGAAGGCATTGCGTGAATTTCAGGAGTCGAGCACAAAAAAGATTCTGCAGCAGGAGGAGGGAATTAAATCAGTGGTGGAGAAAATGAAGAAAGATGCTGCAACTAGAAAGAAAGCCATGTACAAGGCTTTTAAGACTGAGATGGAGAGTGTCAGGGCTACTATAGAAGCTGTCAAAGAAACAGCTCGATTGAAAGATAATGCCTCCATTAGAAGATGTGACGCACTACAGAGATCATTAAGAGCTTCTGAAGCTGCTTCAAAGACGTGGAGACAAAGAGCAGAGAAGGCAGAGTCATTATTAACCAAGGATGGGCTAGTGGACGGAGAGGATAGAGATGCCATTTATGTGGTTAATGGTGGAAGGATAGACCTTTTGACAGATGATGATTCACTGAAATGGAAACTTCTGAGTGATGGTCCTCGTAGGGAGATTCCTCAGTGGATGGCAAGGAAGATCCGGGCTATCTGTCCCAAGTTTCCACCAAGAAAGGTTAATGCATTAGAAGTCTTGACATCAAAATTTCAAACCTTGGACTCGCCCAGTGTAGATGAAGTATGGTCAATAGCCCAAGAAAAGCCCAAGGAAGGTGATACCTTTATCGAACATGTAATTGAAAAAGAAACAATAGAAAAGAAAAGAAAGACTTTGGAACAAACCCTTCAGCGGAATACCATTCAATGGCAAAGGACCCTGGAACAAACAAAATTAGGTTAGTTTGTTTCAATAAATTTATGTTTCTTTGGACCAGAGGCAGAAGTTGATTCTGTTACAATGGGGCTTAGATAAATATAAATCACTTCATACTTTGATAACTAAAGCTACAAGGTGGAAAGAAAGAAACAAAAAATACTAATTTCTGGTCCAACTGTACAAATAGATGAAATATCAAAACTTCAAAAGCAATATAATATGTGACTGGATTCATGGAAGATTTTCAATTTTTTGGAAAAACTTGCACATAACTGATTATCTAACGTTGTATAACTTGTTGTGGACTTCAATGCAGAATCCGGAACTGGGACAGGACGTGAGATTGTGGTTAGTATATCTATTTCTAGATAAGAATTAGGAACTGATATGCTCATGCGTTGTCTCCCATGTATCATGTTCATGAAAGAGGTTGTTTGACTCCTGGTTTTTAGTTGGAACAGCATTAGAAAATTTTAGGTGTGTGAAATGCTTTTGCAAGTTTGAAGTTATTCACAGAACATGTCTATTCTCTTTGTTAAACAGATTGTCTGTTTTTTCTCTTCCTACTGATGTGATAAGCAAAATAAATTTAATTTTTATCCAGCCAAACTAGGTTCCATTATTTTCTCTTAATCTTCCATTAATTTTTTCTTCAATGTGGCCACCATTCATTAGATCTAATGTATAAGACTTAACTGGGCATTTTAGTATCAAGATTGCCAGAGTTTACATTGGTTTAATTTTCCTTCTCAAAGCAGTTTCTGTAGGAGGATGTAGTTTCCTGAGTTTTCTTCTTGTGATTGTCAGATGTATGAAGACCTGAAAATTTTTCAAAAACTTGTTTGGTTGTCTTTTTTGAGGCAAGAAGAGTCCTTCAATTACTTCAAAATTATTAACAAATTATATCTTTGCAGTGTCGCTAGTTAGTTTGTGGGATTTACTAGTGCAGTGAGCTTAGAATCTATTTGGTCAAATTAGTGCTTGTATTATGTGTTGTTAAAAGTACTGAACTATGATTTTAAGTAAAAGTAATGTTAAGGTAGAAGTAGTAAGAGTGCTAAGTGAAATTTGTTGTAAAAATTATTGTCAATATAAAATTTGATATTATATTTTATTAATTATATTATAAAATTAATAATAAATGATGAACTAATAAAAAATGTACAGCAATAAAAATTAGTTATCACTATTATTTAAATAGTACTAATATTTTTCTTAAAAAATTTTCTAATAATTTATATTAATTTTAAAATATACTTTTGTTTTACTTATTTTATCCATTTTATTCAATAATTGATAACTTTAAATTATCCTTCCTTAATTTTAATAATAAAAATTATCAGATAATTTATAATAAATATGAAGTTAGTAATAATAATTTATTATTATATTTTTAGTAAATTAATAATTTAGTGAAATTATAAAATCATTGATATATTCATTAAAAATATTATTTCAAAAAGATATATTTCAGCTTTTGATTTCATCTTTATAAATATTAGAAATATATTATATTTTTAACTAGGAAGACTTATATTTTTAGTGTTCAACAAGATTTTTGTTTCTTTATGGCAAAATCAGAAGCAAAAGCCTGGTCAAACAGACACTTACAGAGTTGCTTAATCATGTTTGCTATGTCCACTAGCCTACCCCAGATGGGATAATACAAACAAAAATTTGCAAGTTCTGGAGCCAGGCTTCTAGTTTTGTACTAATACTCAGACAAGAGTTTTCTTTGATGATTCTTGTTATGAATTTCTCCTCTTGATTCAAAAGGTTTTCTCATTTAAGGCTTCAGGTGGATTTTCCGCTGCAAGAATCTTCGTCATGTCATTTTATCCATACAGTTTATTAATTGAAAGAACCTGATTGTTCTTGTTTCCTGTGGTTCGTTCCTAGACACATTGCAGAAAATCTAAACTTGTGGACAGGGAATCTAACTGTGCATGTGATCAGATTATTTTGCTTCTTTGTCCACCTTGTCCATGTTGCTCAATCTTAAAAACCTTCATGGCATCTAGGGGGTTAATCTTTTCATAGCATATGTCATTTTTCGTCTGCATTCACAACTGCTCCTCTCTGTGAATGCCAATATAATTGCTATATGGATTAATCAAGAGAATTTGTACATTATGAGTAGACTTGTTACCCTCAGTAAGCTCTTTAAAGTTTACATTTGGTGAATCTTAGTTTATTGCTTTTGAAGTTTCAAGGTTTCAATTGGGAAAGCTGGAGAAGGCAATGGTACCTGGATTTAGCCAGCAAAACTGCTGATTTATCTCATTGTGGGGTAACAGCGGTTTGGCTTCCACCACCAACAGAGTCAGTTGCTCCTCAAGGTTTTTCTCCAGAATTTCAATATTCTTTTCATCTGTATTTCCTCAGTCAGTTCTTGTCCATTTATCAGGTAGCTTCTATGAATGTCAAAGTTACATCTTTAGTGTCCTTTCAAAAGATTGAAACTAAACATACCTTTTATTGTTCTATTAATTTAGTTACTTATAGAATTTTAGGTCCCTGAGGTACTCATAAATTGATTGATTTGCATGCCTGAGACATTGTCTTCCGTGTATACTAAGTTATGTATAAGCTTCTCCTAAGTAAATATGGGTTTGCAGTGGTCACATTGTGCTTAACATGTGCAGGTTATATGCCTTCCGACCTTTACAATTTGAACTCAGCATATGGTTCTGAGGAAGAACTAAAGTACTGTATAGAGGAAATGCATTCCCAAAATCTGCTGGTATGTTTTAATTATAGATCTTCAATTTGTCACTATAGATATCAGGCATTAAGATCAATCTTTGAGCTATTTATTCTCAAATTTAGATTTGAGCTTTTAATGATTTTATGAAATGATGTCTTCATCCTTCTGCAGATGCCAGAGAATGATTTATTTAATTGTTTATGCAAATTAGTAACTATATTCATTGTGAAAACTCAACAATTTGCAGTCACTTGTCAATAAAAAGATTGGTATTAACTTGAAATGTTTCTGGATGGCTGCATGATTTGTTGGATGGGAAATGAATTTCCATTAGATACCTAAGCATTTGTTATGGAGTTGTGATTTATCAAATATTTCTTTTTTTTTTTGTTTAGTGCAGCCAATTTGCCCTTTTGTTGTAGCTCCTTATATTGTCTCCTTTTATCATTTTTATTAACAAATTTTTCTTAGTACCTAACTGTGTATCTTTTTGGATATGACATTGTTATTAGGTAGAGAATGGAAGAAAGTACATCAGTGGAGGATAATAGATCCTTCTAAAAAAGAAAAATATCGAATTATATCAGTATGCCCTTGATTGTGTATCAAACGCGTAATAACAGTCTTTTAAGATTCACTAGAGGATTGTACTAGTAGCATTGTAACTAAAATTCAAATCATTCTGGGAAATTCAAATTAAAACTATTCTCCGTCATTTCTCTCTCTGTCTCTATTTTCTCCTAAATTCTTCTCCCTCTGTCTCTTCTCTCGATTTTCCTCTAGCTTGTCACATTCAGTCGTTGCACTGAACGTATGTTGAAGCTAAATGACTAAGGCTTCTGACAAAGTATTATTAGAGCAGTTCGATTCAGAGGCGATACAGGGTTCTGTAGCTAACTTGACGGGATCCAAAGAGAAGTTGGTGCTCGCTGAGTGACTGATGGAATTTATGACAGAAATGTACGAGTCTCAAAAACTGACCCACAAATAGTTTGACCAAATCATAGACATGTTGCACAGTAACATGTGGGTAACAGAAACGAACAATCAAGTCCACAATCTCCCTATACTCAATCTAATAAAGGAGTAATGCCTACCTTATCGATCTGTGAGGCTGGGGAAGTAGAGATTCTGTTATTTAAAGGCATCAGCCCATGGGCTTGGGCACGAAGATGCCTTAAGTATTTCATGTGAATGGAATCCCTGATGAATAGAGAGTGGAAACTGCTTTTCTGTTCTTGGGTGAGATCCTTGCCTGTGGTAAATGAGGACTTAAAATGGGACATTTTTATGGAAGAACTTTGTTGGAGATTTAAGGGGGCTGACCAGAGAGACTTTATAGAAGGATTCAACAAACTAGTAAAGATTGGGACAGTGTTGGAATATCAAGAGTAGTTTGAGCACTCACGAGCCTTTATGATGATAGATAAACACTACACTATCAGGGCGTTTCTTCATCTCTAACTTCATTGTTGGCCTAAAACCCGAACTAAGGCCTATGATCAAGTTGTTAAAACCTCAGACCCTGAACCAAGCTTTTGAGTGGGCCTTGTTGAAAGAACAACCCATAATTGAGATGACCAAGAGCCAACACTAAACTCCTTATTCTCATCCTACAATATTTTGTTAGATAGCAGTTGGGGAAATACCAAAAGAAAAAAAGATAGGCAGTGGACCACGGGTCCTAGAAGTAATAAGCAGGAAGTGGATGCTAAAAGGAACTCAGCTGCGTGTTTCTGTTCTGGGGGCTGGTATTTTCCTAGGTGTCATTATAAGCCCAAGATTGTTATGGTTGTCAAAGGGATGAAAGAAGATGAAGACGAAAGGGAAGTAAGACCAGAGGATTCAGGGTAGAGTAAGGAGGAAGCAAATACGGGAATCCTGTCATTGCAGGCGATGGAAGACTGTCGTGGTGGGAGGTCCTCTCAAGATTTAAGGACTGTTAGAAGGGCAAAACATCATTATCCTATTGGATTGTGGCAGTTCACACTCATTTCTTGATGTGGATATCACCAATCTGGTTAGACGGAGGGTCCTTGGTGATAAGGTACTCACAATGATGGTTGCAAATGACTAGAGAATATCCAGCAGGGAGGAATGGCCAAGTGTTATAACTTCTGAGTCAGAGAGCTTGAGGGATATGACATGATATTAGGAGTAGATCGGGTGAAACAATACAACCTTATAGTATTTCATTTTGTAAGTTCAACAGTGAAGTACAGGTATGAGGGAATTGAGATTACCATGAATGGAACATAAGGGAATAACCAGTGGCTGGGCCTCTCTGGAAGCAAAACCCAGAAATTACTCAAACAGAAGCAGCAAGTAGAGGATAGCATAATTTTTTTTTGGTTTGATTTGGTTTTGGTTTGAATATTCATTCTATCAGTTCAGTTCGGGTAACAAATTTCGGTCGGTTCTTTTGGTTTTGAAATTTTTTTAACTGAATCAACCCAATTAACTGAATGCTCATTCCTATCTGTGGATCCCATAAAGGAATCCTTAATTAGAATATTCTTATTCTGAGCAATAACATAAATAAAGGGAAACTGTAATGAAGAGAGTCCAGCTTCCAACCAATCATTCATCCAGAAACTCACCTTCTCCTCCAACCCAACTGTGTTACTCTTGTTAAGAGTACCATATACAAATACCTTTGTTTTAGAGGGTGCATGCATCTTCAGCCACATTCTTGCTGGTAGACTTATGGGTAATAGAGGAAAAAAGGATTTACAAGTCTAGATGTTTGAACAATCTAACATCTGCACCCTATAATCAGGTCTCAACAAAACTATAAAATGTTCAATGAGGTTGAGGAGAGCATATCAACAACTTTTCAATATTGAGATCTCTAAGAAGGACCAAGTTGCAAGATGTGTGTCCATCAGATTGGACCATGGAATTAGAAGTAGAATCATTGTATTTCTGATGGAGCGTGCTATAGAGGTGATAAACCTATTTGAATATCATTTATTTAAGTATCAATTCCACTAGTTATCATTATTATCATCATCTTCATTATTATTAATAGTATTATTATAATTATTATTATTTCTAAGAGGTCTGCAGCTTTTCTATATGTTATAATTAAATGTTTATTCCTGATATTTCTTGTTTTTATATCTTTTATTTCTTGGTAGTAAGCATAGGTTGACAGACTTTGATGCCTTCGTATACAGGCCTTGGGAGATGTTGTCCTTAATCATAGATGTGCACATAAGCAGGTATATTGTTTCATTTTCTTCCCTTATCACTTTTCCCTCTGAGTTCCTTAGTTGGTATCATATGATATTTGAGGTCTTACCTCAGATAAACAATTTTCCCGTAGTCCTTGTAATATGGACTTATTATGAATGCTGTTTTCATGTCATTTGAAGACTGACATTATTCCTCACTATAGAGTCCAAATGGCATTTGGAATATTTTTGGAGGCAAGCTTGCGTGGGGTCCTGAAGCAATTGTTTGTGATGATCCAAATTTCCAGGGCCAGGGAAATCCCTCTAATGGTATGTAATTTAGAGAGTCAACTTTCTATAGAACAGACAAGAGCTAATCTATAGCAGGAAACAAAGAAATCACAATACTCAAAATGTAGCGCTCACATACGAAGTCCCCCCAAAACTCTCTCTCTCTTTCTTTCATTCATTCTCTTGACACATACTTGCATACACTGGTGATAGATGTACTCTTCTAAGAAAAAGTATTAGAATTCTTTTCTTTTTGTGATGAAAAAAGACCGAAGAAAAGAGAAGTTACAAGAAAGATGGAGAGGATAATATATCCTCCAACACAAAAAAGAGAAAGAAATCAAAAAGTTAGAAAAAGAAGAAAGCAAAATGCCTTTGAAAATAATTGAACCCATTCCCTTCGCAAAGTGGATAAAAGCATTCCTGAAAAAAAAAAAACATGGGCTTTACTTTAAAGAGAAGCAAAGAAAATTTTCATATCCCAAACCATTTCAAGTGGTTCAAACCAGTGTTTTGGGAATTCTTTTATTTCCTTCCAACAAAATGACCCCGAAACTAGTGAAACTGTCCACCTCCACAACACCTTATTTTCCTTGATCCCCTCTATCCTGAAGAGTGATAGAAATAAATATCTCCATGTAGGGGGAGACACACACACAACTCAGGACATAGAAAACACCCCATCTCTGAAAAAGGTCTTACAATGAAGGAGACATTTTGATACCCAGTGATTATTCTGGTTATGCCTTATACATACAATGGGATGGTATTGCCTTAAAAAAAGAAAAATGGTACTTCATTCATAATTGAATTGTCTTAGTTCTGGTTGCAGGTGATATTTTCCATGCAGCACCAAACATTGATCATTCCCAGGATTTTGTACGGAAAGATATAACGGAGTGGTTAAATTGGCTTCGAAATTACATTGGTTTTGATGGATGGCGCCTCGACTTTGTAAGGTAAAGGTTTTTTTTCCATGTTATTGATTTTTACATCCTTTTTCTACCATTTAATGCAATAGAGATTTAATATTTACTAAATTATATTAGATTGCCTATATCTCAAACTGGACCTAACTTTAAATTTGATCTTTTTAGTACTTGTAGCTTCTAAATATTTCAACTTCAGTTCTACAATTACTTTTCTGGTAAGATGCACAAAACATTGACTCACGCACGCTTCATAGACGTATTAAGATAATTATTAGCTAGAGATTAATGATTAACCTAATTACATTACATTACTTTTATATTAAAACACCCTGGAAATTGGCTCTCATAAATATGTTAGTTTAATCACTCTGATGGAAGAAGATTATGGGTCTCTGATTTACTGTGAATCTTGTTTTTTCTTATTCAAGTTTTTCCTTTGAACTTGGTATTTTATCGAGTAGTCCTGTTTTTTCATGAAGCTACTACAAATTAGCGAGCTATTTCTATTTGAGTCTTTTATAGTTCTTGGAAAACTTGAGAAACAAGATTTTCCTTCTTGGTAGTTTACTTTTGACGCATTCTGTTGTAAATTAACACACCTCTGGTCCAGAATTTAGTGGAAAAGTATGCAAGGGATTTCCTCATGGGAAGTATAAAGAAAAAGTTTGCAAGAATATAGCATTCTTAGTTGTATTTGTCTGTGTGTTTACAGTTGGCTTTGTATGTCTTCAAAGTCAATTGTTTGTTGTTTGAATTTGTCAGTTTTTCTATGACCAGTTTGTTTAAATTTATCTAAGGCAATTACTTAATTTTAAGGAGCAGTTTCTATCTTTAGAACATCAGCTATCTTCTAATTCTGTAAGCTTGAAGAAGGCTACAGCAGAATGAATAAAGCTGTTTTTGTCTGATAAACAGGAAGTTTTGAGTTCTTCCCTAAAACTCAAAGAGATTGTTGAGTTCTCTCAGAGGAGCTCGTTAACATTAACCATTGGAGCAAAAGGAAGAAAAACAGCTACAAACTCTATCCTTTGATCAGATTTTGTGCTATCCGGACCCATGACTAGATCTAACTTAAAATCCTAAGACGATCTTTTGCTCTCAATAGGAGAAGTTTAGCATTTAATTAAGAGTTTCATTTTTTTTTTTCCACAATTTATAAAACTCCAGTAAAGAATTTTTTCTGAAATTCCTTATTAGTGTCCAGAATAATCAAACCCGTTACTTGATTAAGGTAACAGCTACTGCTCTGTTTTCTCTCACCTTCTTTCCCGTGATCCTTCTTGTTAGAGAATGATCAAGCTAATTAAGTGATTGGGCGGCTAGAATCAGTAATCAAGCTGATTAAACCATTGCTAGAGAGAAGGGTGAAGTTTGATATTTTACTAAGAAGTGACCTTGTGGGACTTAATTTGAGACATCTAGAAACTACGGCTTCTAAAGAAATGCAATTAAAAGTATGTGTTAGATTGAGAGCCATAAATGTGTATGTCATTTTTATTTAATTGGCTCTTACTACATTTCAAAAGTTCTTTACTTAAAAATGGAATTCTTTTCTGAAAAAAATTAAATTCTGACCTGGTTGGGAGTTAGCTTCAGCATTCTCGTGATGTGGGACAGGGAAACCTTTCATTTGCATGCTTATTCTTGTCCTAGACCTTGATATAGCTGAAATCTATATACACTAGGAATGATTTACTGAAAGCAAGAACAAAGAAGAGCATTCACAGCATCATGTCTATACTTTATAAGGGAAAATTGCTGAATTTTTCTCTTGTTTGCAGAGGATTCTCTGGTACATATGTCAAAGAATATATTGAAGCTTCAAACCCTGCATTTGCTATTGGAGAATACTGGGATAGTTTAGCTTATGAACATGGTGACTTGTGCTACAATCAAGGTAATCACTTAGCTGTTTTCAGATTTAATAGGTAAATTATTTTTTTAGTTGGAATATTTTTTGAGAGAAAAACAAAGCACATGGGGATGCAACTCAAATACGAAAGCTTTATTTACCATTTAAAATATCAACAAGGTCCCCCCATACTCTCAAACAAACTAAAAGGATAACCCCTAAAACAAAAAATAGGGAGTCTAGAACTATAAGTCCCCAATTCTATTGAAGGAGAAGCATTGCCATCAAAGTCCATTTATTCATCTCCTTCAAGATAAACACAAGGTCACCAAGGGGATAAGAGATATACGTTTCTTCCTACTCCTATCACCCGGAATGTTTGGCAAGCCAAATTTACTCATCCACAAAGCTTGACATCACCCAGTTCAGATTAGGGAACTACAAGAGGTGCATTATAGCTGAAAGGATAAGGGACACAACAGCGAAAGGAGAATAAGGAAAGTTAGTGCATGCCTCCCTCTCTCTTTCACACATAGGCAGACACACACACACACAGAGACATCCACACATGACTGCATGCACAACCTTTTCTCATTCTTGCTTTATTGTAGTGTTCTTTCTCCTTGCAGCTATAGTGCACTGCATGGAGTTTCGTAGTTTAAGCTGAGTGATAGCAAGCTTTTTTATTGCAAAAATTTGGGTTTTGCCAAGGGAATCCAAGTGACAGGAGAAGAAAAACTCATGTCTTTTATCCGCTTGGCTATCTTAGGGGGTTAATTCAAATGAGGCAGAGTAGATTTTGTGGTAGGTAATTTGAGATGGAGTAGGCTTTTGATTTTGTTGAAACTGATAATGAAGTGGGGTAGGTAAGGAGGGAGCAGATCTTGGTGGTGGGTGGTGAGATATCATCTAGGAATTTGGTTTTATCCGAATTGATAATAAATAATGGATAAGATGATATGTTGGTGACACAGGATGAGACAGGGAGGGAGAGAGGTGATAAGAGATATTAGTACCGTACTAAGTCTTTCTTTGATCACCTCAGTGGACATCGAACTTCTAACCAGATTCCAATTGCACATAAATTTTGGCAAGTTTCAGTTC